GGGGAGTCATGCGCAGGCACCAGTGCTTTGTTCAGTGACTTCGCTATATTGGAAGACATTAAATTATAGCGCTCACCCTGAAAATAGGACCTTGTCCAAGGGCTGACATCAATTAACTTCAGATAATCCCAGCAACGCTTATCATCTATTTTTATTTCCTCATATTTTTTTAAAAAAGTGGGACATCTTGAATGCCTCTGCTGCCGTGCCAACCAAATGCTTTTGATTCCTTTTCTTGTATTTCCCGTTCACATTCCTTTGTAGGTGTACGAGGCAACACCCATGGTCTGCACGTGGATACCATAAGTTCTTAGAAACATATATTTTGTTAGCTCTATTGGACACAATCGTTAGATCAGAACCATCTTCTAGGATTTGTAATAGCTTCTTACAAAACCAGCTCCATGACTCGTTAGTTTCATTGTCAATAAGTGCAAACTTTATTGGGAATACCTGGAAATTTGCGTCTTGTCCACTTTCAATTAGAAGACATCCTTTGTACTTTCCAAACATGTGCATCCCATCCACCACTAGTACCTTCCGTAGATGCTTCCAACCGTCAATGCAAGCTTTTAACACCATGAAGACGTACTTAAACCATGTATTTCCCTTTTTTATATCAGTTATGGACCCGGGATTTGCATACTTCACCACATGAAAGTATTTGGGTAGCAGCTTGTACGAGTTCTCTTCAGTTCCTTGAGCAGCAGACGTTGCCAACTCTTTTGCTTTCCAACATTTCCAATATGTTGTTGTAAACAAAAACTCAGTCCATAAAATCTTTGGTAATTCAACTGCACGTGGTCCAGCCTGGAGTCTTTCATATTTTGATCTCATTAGGAAAGCAATTACTTTAGACGTTTCATGTTTTTTAAACTGCGCCTTCACATTGGATGAGCATGTATAAGCCAGAGTTGCCTTCCTAACCTGATAAGTTGACGCTTCACCCATTTGCTTAGCCATCACATAAGAATTGCATGTTTTATCAAAGCATTTAGCTGTAACATAGTTTCTCGCATGCTTGTGAAACCGGAACCTGAAAACATGTTTAATGGCAAATATAGCCAAATAGATCTTAAATTCATGGTTACTGTTGAACAGCCGCCGAACGTATATATTAGAATCTGCTAGGCTGTCTTCAATATCATCCACAGAATAGTCCTTAATTGGGACGTCATGAACTATAGGTTCAACATTCTCAAATCTATAAAGGTCATTCCATGTCCTCTTCTGCCGGGTAACCGTATGATCTAAAAAAAATTTGCATCCACTGTCTCCTTGGGCACTGCAACCAAACTGAGGAGCAGGATCTATAAAATCATCATCATCGTCTTTTTCCAGTATATCTTGTGAAGGTTGCGAAGTGTCTCGGATAGTAGTGTACGAAGCATAACCAAATTGATTCACAGTGTACGGAGCAAAAGCAAATTGAAGCACTCCGATTTGCAAGGGTTCTATGGACTCTAAAAATCATCATCATCAACAACTTTTCGCTGTTGTGGTCTATTTTGTGGAAATTTGCAAGGATTCGACGAAGCAGAAGCATACCAAGGAACCGGTTCAACAAAATCATCATCAAAAACTTCTCGTTGATGCTGGTTGGCTTCTTTTGGACGTCTAACGAGAACAATAGATTGTGAGATGCTCTCCAAAGCTGAACGCTCTTGCGAATTCTGAAGTGATTCCTTGGAAATGTTAGATTCATCGTCAACACCGACAAAAAAAATTCTCGACGATCCTATGTAGTCTCTACCATCATCTATGTAATCTTCACATGATGATGTTTGATTTAAAATCTTCAATGCACTGCTTGTTTTCAGCTGACCCACTGCCTTTGCTACACGAACGTTCCACTTTCTTTCCTACCACTGACATCCTTTTAGACACGTGAACACGTACACCTACATTTAGTTTTTTAGTTGGTCCACCACTTTGTCCCTCACCAGTCCCTCGTTCACCATCTTTCCCATCATCCCAATCGCAATTCCTTGAAACAAAACCATGACATTCATTGAAATCATAATCTTCCTCATCCACTTCCTTAACCTCACCATCTTTTTTCTGCACCGTTTTCTCATTTCGTTTCCGGTCACATCTGCTTCCGCAAATTCAAAAAAAATTGTCTTATAGACATCATTTTTCAACATGCATCAAAAGAGTTGCATCATCTAGCACATCCTCTTAACCACCTCTCATTGCATTACCAGTGACGACATCTCGATCACCTACAACAACTACAGATGTTTTTCAAACTCCCACCCATTGACGTTATCAACAATTTCTCCATCTATTTTATCCCTAAATGTGACAAAAACGTTTATCACTTTGTCCACCTTTCTAAACGAAGTAAATATTTTGTAGTCCTCACTGTTGGAAATTTGAAGTGGATACTGCTTTTCACCAGATATCGCGCCATGGAGCCAATATGAAAGCTCTACGATCACAAGAGCTCTTAGCAGACAGTATTCATCTATGATTCTTTCTTTAAGCTTATCAACAACGGTTATCAACTCCACATCGATTGTCCTCCCCATTCTGTCATTGTCAATCTTGAAATCCCAATCACCATTCCAGTACTCATGACAACGATATAGGAATGATTAACACCTATAAAAAAACTTTGTTTAGTCTTACAAAATCAAGCTAAATAAGAAATAAATGAAGATTCCTTAAATAAACACTTAACATCCCAACACAATATCTGCAATAAATGAAGTTAGTAATTACTACACCGTAATAAATGATGTGGTGTACGGTTAATATATGAAATCTTTACCTTCACTACTTGTATAGCCACCATCAACCCATGCCTTCCATTTCTCGTCATAATTGTTGAAACTAATCATAGCACCAATGATAATTTACAGTTTTACTTCACAAATGTCTGCAACAAAATTGAGTAAATCGACATTTTATAAAAGAGATTTGATTACTCCTTTTCGTGGACAAACTTACCAATAATTGGTTACAAGGTGATTTTCCCGTGCTCATGCACGGACATAAATATATTATAATAGTTGACTGATATTTACTTTAAATTTTATATTAATTTATAGTTTGTATTTATAATTTTTATTAATAATATTATATTACTTTAGTTATATATAATTTTAGATATATTATATTTAGTCAGTTTTATCATTTGGATATATATATATATATATATTGGATTCTATCTATTTCTATGAATTCAAATATAATCTTTATTATTTTAAATATCTTAAAAAAAAATTTTAATTATTTTATTTACATTTATGTTGGTTGTTATTTACGAAATATAAGTATATCTTAGTAAGATTATGTATTTTAAGATTTTTTGTGCTTAGAACGAAAAAAATAAAAACTAAAGTGTCTGATTCTAAATTACATAAGTAATAATAAAATTTTGAAAGCTTATGAAGACATATCAATATTTACAATAATTAAAATATTTTATAAATTCAAAATAATTTATTCCGTAGATTGATTGTATGGTAAACTGAAATTTATTTTAAATAATTTTAAAAATAAAGAATTTCGTTTTGCTTAAATATTTTGATTATGGTTATATTAAATTCTACAAACCTAAAAACATAAATTTAAACATCAAAAGAGTTATTAAGAAAACAGATAATTTTAACTATTAAATATAATATGTCTACCTCGTTAAATTATAGTGATGATATTTTAAAAGAATTGTAGTTATTTGATCAAAAGATATTTATTATTAAATTTATTTAGTTCTGTTTTTAACATCTATTAAAATATGCAGTAAAAATGTGATTTTATTGAGAAATTATATTATATAAGTAAAATGCAGATATCAGTTTATGTTACTTAATTATTTTATGTAATCATCTAATAAAATAGATGGATATATCAAAAAATAATTACTTTGAAAATATATATTTTATTGTTTAAATTATTTTTTTAAAGAAAAAATATTTATTTTTCTAATATCAAGATTATTTGTATGAACTTTTTTATGAAAACACATTATATAAAACTATTCTTTTTCATCTAAGAAGATATAGATATAAAGTATTTTATTACTTAAAAGTATAATTTATGTTATTCAAAAAATATATTTAAGTTAAATATTACTATTTTGTAAGCTTTCCTTTTTTATGAAACCATATTATATATACACTTATTTTTCGTTTTAAATAGTTTTGTAAATTTTATAAATATTTCCCTTTTATTTTATATTGTTATTTGGAAGATTTTAAAAAAGAAATAATAATATTTAAATATATTTTTAATTCTTTAGAGGTATCATTATAATCAACCAGTATGAGAGTTAACGTGAACGCGACACGTGATTTCTCAAATAATATTATAGAGATTTATTAATATTATTAACCATAATTGATGTTCTCCAAACCAACCTGTCGACGTGGCGTTTTTTTCCCGGACAAAACAGTGTTTCTATTCAAAATGGTTGGGCAAATGGACCCAAATATCAAGGTCAAACAGGCGCATCGTGTCCACTATTTTCTTATAAAAATTTCTAACATAATGTTTATATTCTAGTATCTGGCTCTTGATTTGTAGTAGCTACAAATATGGACTGTAGATTCTACAAACATCTTCTTTAGCGTCTCAAGATTATCATCTTCTCTTCCCTTCACAACCAAGAAACAACTTGGTAGAGATGAGAAATGGAACACAGTTATCATTATCAGTTAAAGACTCCAACTTGATTCCTGTTGAAAACGCGCCTCTCTAGTTCTTCAGGACAAAAACAGATTCGGTTTTAGCCTGTTTAATTCAAACCAATCCTTGACTGAAAATGATAGCTGCGCAGCTTACTATCTCTGAACTGAAACTCCATGAAGTTTTCAAATAGAAAGGAAAAGTTTTATTACAAACGTCGTCCCAACATGGTCTAATTAATGATTACTACACACAAAGACATAGCCAACGAACATATGACAAGTCCAACAAACACACGAAGTCATAGATTTCTAATCACAAAAACCAGCACCATACACACACAGAGTCGCACACTATGGCTTTATTCATCGCACCCAAGCAACTGCATCAATCTCATCTCTGGCTTTCTTATATAACTCAAGCCTCTGCGCACACTCTAGTCTCCTACCCATCAATGCCGGATCTTCATCCAGCAACAGTCCCAACTCTTTCCCCTGTGACCATATCATAAAAGTTTTGACATGTATAGAATCTAAAAGAATTGAGACATTTAATTATTTAGTATATAGTTTTTACCTCTCTCTTGCTGATCTGACTATAGAAGTAATTGAGCAACGCTAGTTTGGCTTGTCTAACCTGACAGTAAACACAAGCCTTTGGAATGGTGTTGCGAAGTGTGTCTGAAACCATGCTTACATATGCAGATACATTCGATGCTATCCTTCTGAAATGTCCATCTCCGTATTGGTCTGCTGCTGCGGGAGAAGGAGAAGCGGTCTGGTTTTTGCTGTTGGTTACTACTGGTCTCTCCATCTCTTGAGGAAGTTTCCTGAAGAACTCGGCTGTTAGATAAGCAGACTCCATCTCAACAAGTCGAATAACTGACTTCTTGCTTTCTTCCCTGAACTTCTCCAAGGAAGTGTTGGCTGCTGCAGCTAGCTCCACTTGCAGCGAAGGGAAACGCTTTAGCTCCTGCATTTAGAGATTCATTCATTTATACCCTTTCTTGTTCACTATACATGTGATGAGAAAATCAATAGTGTCACCTGAGTTTCTGCTATTGACTTCCTTACAAGCTCTTTCAAGACAAAGTGAACCTGAAGATCACCAAACTTGTTATGGTCATGTATATATATGAAACTGAAGTGAAAGGCGTCTAAAGAACTTACAGCATCCACAGAAGCTTCAGCTGGACCTCTAAAGTAACCAAGCGCCCCTTCAATAAGACGGCGATAGCCCTGTTCTGGTGCAATCAAGTGAGGCTGATAACCATCAGCTTCAGAAACTATTCTCTTAACACTTTGTAGAGAAAGATGGCGATCGAAAGGAAGCTTTTTAAGAGCAGCTGGAAGTTGGTTGTCGAAGACTCCATAGATACGGTCACCTCCTGGACGCCTACAAATGCAACATTTAAGTTTTAAGGAAAGGATCAATAAGGTTTCCACAGAAGATGAGTACTGATGCTTACCCTCCATCTAGATGTTCCTTGAATACTTTATCGAATGCACGACACATCTCCAGTATAGTGTAGAGTTGAGCCTGAGAGCGAGACCAATACATTTAAGCACACAGCAAAGAAAGAAGAGAAATGGTTTCATATAGAGAAAGCACTCACCCCAGCATCAACTGAAACGGGCCTGCCCATTCGGTCTAACTCTCTTTCAAGTTCCTCGATGCTTTTGTTTATTAAGGATAGGATACTTGGTATACGTGACCTGATAACAGACTCCAAGTGCTGCAGAATAAGAAAAACAAAGACCATATGGAAACTGACAATATGAGAAAAATTCAGACATTTCAGGCATTGGTTGAGCACCTTAGAGAGCAGCTTTGCCAGGTACTCAGAACCCATTTTGCTGGCTAAGTGACCATAGTCAGGACTGGTGTCAAAATATTCCCGCTCTTTTCTTCTTGCAAGCATCATGTCAGCATTCCTATTAATATCTGCTTGTGAACGGTTCACTATCCCAACCCAAGGATGTTGCAGCCTGTATGATCTTCCCTCAAGAACCTTATAAAGGCAAGCATTACTTTTATGTTAGGAACAAATTTTTAAAGATCAGGAAAACACACTGTATTATTGTTTTACTATTATTATCCCAAGATTAGTTAACGAAGATAATATATGTTATCTAACACTAAAAATAGACTATGTCATGTGAAACAGAAAAAAAAAAGAGATGAAGAGGTGGGTTACGTCTAATGCATTAGTTCCTTTGTCCATCAGGTCTAACTTGGTAAGAACACCAAATGTTCTCTCGCCTGGTAAAATCAAACACTTAAACTCATCATCAGAAGACAACAGTTGCTGGAACAAAACATATCATCCACTAACAAGAAAAAACAACTAACAAACCTGTTGGATCAACTTCTTTTGCAAGTTTGATTGCATCAGATGTAGCTATGTCTTGATTGGCAGGAGATATAGCAAGTATGATACAATTGGGCTGCAAAAACAACAGAATTTATAAAGAAATTACACACGCTCAACATCAGTATACTAATAAAAGAAGTAGCAATTCTAACCTTATCAACGTATGTGCGAACCATGGATTCGATATCCTCAACAATGGTTTCTGGTTGTCCCTCTGGAAAAATATAAAACAGTATAAAGAACATTCATACAGCCATCAAATAATACAGAAATGGAAACAGAAAGAGGATGTGAGAAGTTCATACCAACAGCCACTTTAGTTAAACCGGGTAGATCAACGAGGGTCAGATTCACAACTGCAAAAAAAGAAGCAAGTATTGACGTTAGTTCCATAGACAAATAGTATTACATGAAGTAAACTACAGACTGTGATAAAAGCAGACCATTAGGAGAGAAGATACTGAGGTGAATAGGAACTGGAGAAATCTGTTTGCTCTTCCCTGTGATTCTATCAGTCTCATCCTGAATCTCCTTGCGAACCATAGCTACAACATCAACCAATTATCAAGCAAAGTCAATGAATACTTCAAACATCAAAGAATTTTCTAGCCAGACCCACATGATGAATTCAAATAACAGGGACACTAACACAAGACCTAAGTAACCAACAAAACAGGGGAAAAACAGAACACACATACATTCTCATACAAAACTTATATAAAGATACATACCGAAGTCTGTGAACTGTTTCTTCGGAAGATGGAGGAACTCTGCATACTCCTCTGTTCCTTCCTCTGTCTTATGCAGCTGCAACACCAAAGGACGTCTCGTAACAATACCTGCACAAACACTTCCTTGTTCAAAACCAGAGCTCATACCCTTATTACGCAAACAAACTAAGAGAAAAGGTTAAAGATTTAACAAACCGGATCCTCTAGGAAGAAAGTCTCTCCCAACTATGCTCTCAAGAACCGAAGATTTTCCAGAACTCTGCACGAAAGTTCAAAGAGTCAACAGAGAGAAAAACAGAGGAAGAAGAAGTCAAAGCTACTTGGAACAGAGGAATCACCTGACCACCGACGACGGCGACGGTAGGAAGAGCTTCCCAAAGGGAATTGAAAGCGTCGTCACCAGTTCCACCTCCATAATCACCGAGCACAGTGCACGCTCTCTGAATCCTATTAACCAACCCAATCAAGCTCTCCATAGTCGTCATCTTCCTTCTCTTCCTTCCGTTTCAAATTGAATATTCAAAAGCTCAGAAGACGAAGCTGCCTTCACTTAAGAAATAAAAGAAAGAAACTTGAAAATTCAACAACGGACCAAGACTTCAATTAGAGCTGAGAGACGAATAATAAGACAGTTAGGGGTAAAGTCGGAAAATAAATAAGAGAATAAATGTCTCTGTTATGTGTTGTTCTAGAATGTTGGTCTCTGTCTGGTTCGGTCGGTTTCGAGCAAAGGTTAGTCTCTTTGCCTCTTTGGTTCGGTACGGTCTGGTTCCTACTTTAGCAACCGGCCCATTTTACGATAACGAAGATAAGGTTGCGTGCATAGTCTTTTTTTTTGCCTTTATACGCGTTTGAATTTTCGAATTTTGAAGTTCCACGTGGACCCTACGCAATACAGTTTATGTCGGATTAGCCTGGCCAGAGTGACCACTACTGTAATGAAGAAGGAAAACTTTGTAAAAAGACTTTAAAGCCCAATATTGAAGTCAGGCCCAGGGAAAGGGCTTTGTGGAAAGCCTGGTCATCACTGTTGGATTTAGACCCAGTGAACAAAAAAGACTTTTTCAAAGGCTTTAAAAGCCCAATAATGAAGAGACTCAGTGGGAGGGACATGTGGGAAGCGGTTGAAGAAACGGACGAACACTCGTGTGGGATGTGGGAAACGACGATGGCTCGTTTTCACCTAATACTTGTCGGCTTTACCAACCACCATCACATGCCTACCCTTTTAGGTTTTTCCTTTATTTATTTTAGTTTCTACTATATACATTGGATATAGCTTGTTCAACTGTTGTTTATAAAGTCAGTGGCTGAGGTAATCACTACAATTCCCATTCAAATCCAATGGTATTTGTCCGATTAGATTTAAAGCAAGGTCAACTATAAGTAGGTTTATCCTTATGTAAGAAGCAGAAACTAACAATTATAATGGCGTATGTTTACAATAATGATGATAGGGTTGCTTGTAATTGACTAAGGGTTCGATTGTTTATGACTTTGAAGGCTTTTACTGTTAAGGCTTTTAATTTAAGCTTGACTGTCACAACTTTTGATTTATTTAAAATAAAAGTGGCTTTAGAAATAGATGAAAGTCTGACTTTGTAGCTTTTAGAAAAGTAGTTCACGCCAAGAGCAAAATCAGTTATATTGGCTGTGAGATTTTTAAGGAACACTTTCAAGACTTTAGAGATCTAAAAGCCTGATTAGAATAAAACTGACTTTAATGGCTTTAGAATTAGTTTAAAGCCTCTAAAGTCTTCAAAGTAAAAATACCAATCGGAACCTTAAAAGCCAAGTGAGAAACATTTTGTAATGTAAAACTGTTGAGTAAAATACTTTAAACATTTAACTCATACTACTAGTTTCATATTTTTTTTTGAAGTAATCACCTTTTCTATAAATGCATATTCTCATAGAAAATGTGGACGAGACTAACTCATAAGCTGCTCTCTACTTGATATACAAGCAAATGGGATGGGTCATGGGATCAATCATTAGTCTTAGCAAAGACCAAACGAGGAACAAGGTTCAACGGTTTCTCTTCAAATATGTTTTTTGACAACATTATAATCTATTTGGAACGAGCAGATTTGGGAAAGAGATGGGAAGATTCATGCACGCCTTTGATACTGATCAAAATAATTGACATAACAGATGAAGAATCGTTTGTTGAGCATTCAACAGATGGGTGCACTAGAATATATAAATAAGACCATGGAAATATAGTTTTCGGTTTTTAATTATTGTTGCTTTAGCTTATTTTCTTCTGCAAAAACAATCTCCTAAAACATACAATGTAAAATAAAATTAAAAAAAAAAACAAAAAAAAACATACAATGTAAAAAAGTTTTTTCTAAGCTGAATAAATTTTTAAATTTATTAAAAAAAAAGAGTTTCTCTGTAAAGTTATTGATAAATTATTATTCTATAGCTATTATGATTTTTTTTACTTTTTAGCAAACATGAACCTTTTGTTTAATTAAATTTATATTTTGTTTGATTACACATGTAATACTGTTTTATTACTCAAATAATGTATTAATATAAAAAGAAAAATATAAAATTTAATGTAAAATAAAAGTGATAATACGAAATGAAATGAAGGAAATATTAGATAGAGGTATAGGGATGTTCTCGTAGGTACTGTCTTTATTCCGACAGAACAGAAGAGAGAATGTTTTATCTCTCTCTATATCTAAAAAAGACAGATAGATTTAAGAAGAAGACAAAATCTTTACCACCAGATCCTACTCATCTAACAGGTTGTCACATCACTATAAGTCACCGAAACTTTCGGCTACTAAAAAAGTTTCTTCACAAAACAATAACATAATTTTCTCCGATGAGGTGTAAAAGACACACCGTCGATTCCACCAGCAACGTCGGCGTCTGCTCTTCTTGTCTCCGTGAACGTCTCCTTTCCCTCGCCGCTTACGCCGCCGCCGAAGATAGCAACAACGCCAATCGTCAATCGCAAAAATCTAACAAACCACCTCCGCTTCTGATCTTCCCTCGCTCTGTTTCTCCTTACGTAACCTGTAGAAAATCCGACGCCGGAGGGAGAGATCGCCGGTTCCTCGCCGCGCCTCAGGTGGATCTCGGATTCTCATGCAAGGACTTCGAGTCGAACCGATCCTCTAAATCGAGAGGAGGTAAGGTTTCAAGAATCACTAATCTATTCAGCGCGAGATCTGAAGATTACGGTTCGGAGTCTTCTTCTTCGTCGTCGTTGTCATGGTTATCGTCCATTCTCTCCACCGGTCGTTCCAAGAAGCAACATGCGTGTTACATCGAGGACGTGATCGCCGGTCATCGTCGACCTCAAAGAGTGTTCTGTCGAGGAATGTCTCCTGCGCGAGATGAAAATGAACCACCGTCTGAATCAGTTGAGGAAACGCCGGGGAGATCAAGAAGAATGCCGGCGATGAAAACTCCGGGAAGTAGGAAGATTGCGACGGGGATGAGGTTCTGCTTGAGTCAGTTGGTGAGAGCTAAGCCTCACTGTCCTTTTAACAAGAAAACCAGATTTCCATCTGAAGTTGTCGGAAATTCAGGCGAGGTATCGGTGTTGGAAAAGCCACACATCTCTGTAGCGGCGTCGTTTTGCGCGAATAGATCGAAGAAGCTCGTGGATTTAGGTAGAGTTCATCACCGCCGTTGAGTTTTTTTCGGTGGAGAAGTTTGGTCAATGTTTGACTTAGTAGTGCCAATAGTAGATTTACGTATGTACACTCGTGACTCCTAAAGATTCATGGATTGTTTCCAAATTCAAGCTGTTTATATTTGGCTTGTGGTGTGATTGGTGAATAATCAGAAAGAAAGTAGTTAAAAATACTTTTGGATTTCTTTTATTTTGTAATGTAATTTTCTTTCATATTTTTATTTTGTAGATGGGGCAAAGTCTTGTTCGTGGGTTACTAGGAAAAGCAATGTAGTGTCATTTTATGTTTTCTTATGAAAATGCTATTATTGGGTGTACAAATTAAAAGATTATGATCATAACATTATTTCATATGAATGCCATCTTGATCAAAATATCAATTTCACACTCACATAGTGATAGTATAGTATCAATCCTTTCCAAGGGTTGACTAGAATCAAACATTATCATATTTGACTAATCTCGTTAGAGCATTATTATCCCATGAATCCCAAATAGAATTTTTAATGACTATTTAATTATATAAATATACTTAAGTGGTCTTAAGAAATCTAGTTAAGAAACTCTCATTTTGCGTGGTTTAATGGGAGTTTCTTAATTAAGGTTCTTAAAAAAATAAAAAATTTGGTAAACCTTTTTTCAGAAAAAAAAAACAAAAAAAAAATGTTTCAACAAGTGATCTATAACCTTAAAGATTCTACTACATAGAGAAAAGATCTATAACCTATAATGTGAAAAGAAAATAAACCAGAGACATGCATCATCCATGATTGTTTTCTAAAGATATGTTTCCCTTATAGATATAAGAGAATGGGAGATATGGTATATATTGACCTGCTGTCACATTCAGTTTCAGATTAAAGTTTTACTAAAATTTAAATTTTCAATCTTGTTTGCTGTATTTTGAACAATCTTCAGAGATATTAATCACAATCACCATGAGATTATAGTCTAACAATGAAGATTGTGCACGACTACAATACTATACATGGCCAAAACTTGTGTACTCATCAGAAGCACTTGGTTCATACCCGCGTCCATCCAAATAGCTTAAGCAATAAGTACAGGCAGCAACTCATGATCCTTCTTAGTTCTTCTTTGAGTTTTCTACACCACGAGAGGTCCAAATCATGCAACCTCTTACAATATTTAGCGAGCAAAATAGCAGTTTCTTGACCAACCTGTTAATAACACACACAGCAACTCCTTTAATAACTTGGGAGAAACCAGCTAATACAAAGAGGATGAGACTTTTAGGTACTAAAACACTCACTTCTCTGACATTGTTCATACAGAGGTTGTTTAGAGAACCACCACAGACTTCAAGAAACGCAGCTACACCGTCATCACTGACGAAGGAACCACGTCAATTGGTATTAACAACAGTCCACAGAAGTTATGTTAAAGAAAGACAAATAAATGGCGAGACTTGAGCAAACCTGAATCGGTTTCTTGTAAACTTGACCGAGTTCAAAGATCTACAACCATTTGTGATGGAATGAGAAGATTTAGTGTGGTAATCTGATGGAATGAGAAGATTTAGTGTGGTAATCTGTAGGGAATGAGCAAGAATTATCAAGAACAAGAGAGAGAAAGTAAGATCTGTGAGAGAGAGAGAGAGAGAATAATATTTTTATTAGGAATTATATTTTCCTTAATCCATTTATGTGTACAAGTATTCATATTTAAGAAGAGAGGAAACTAATAAAGAATGGCACTCTGATTCTGGTGATAGTGACAGGTTCCCAACGGACAGATCTGGAGAATTCAAATTTGAATTTGTCTTCCATGTAGTTGAGGAGTGTAGTCGTGTCATATAGTCGACTATATTATAGACCACACATGTAGTTGTAATATATAGTCAANAGGAAAGAGTAGAATACTCCATGATGAGGGGATTAGTGACATGAGAGGTCTATGAGTCCAAGTCTAGGGTGAATGGACTCACAAACTTTGTTGCTGGCTGCCTTGGTGAAAATATCAGCAAGTTGATCTTCACTTTTTGTATAGCATGGGAGGATCACTTGTTGTTCTACTGCTTGTCTTACCTTGTGGCAGTCCACTTTTGTGTGTTTGGTCCTCTCATGGAAAACTGAGTTTGATGCAATGTGTATTGCAGCCTGATTGTCACAATGCATAGTCATTGGTGTACTGATCCCAATGCCCAAGTCTTTTAGCAATCCCTTGATCCAAATGAGTTCACTTGTGAGTTTCCTCATAGCTCTATATTCTGCCTCAGCGCTTGAATAAGAGACCACCTTCTGCTTCTTGGTCTTCCATGTGACTAGATTTCCTCCAATAAATGTGCAGTAACCAGTGGTTGATCTCCTATCAACTCTATCACCAGCCCAATCTGCATCACAATAGCCCACCACTTCTGTGTTCTTATTGCACGCCATCCATACTCCTTGACCAGGAGCCTCTCTCAAGTATCTTAAGACCCTTTC